AAACGAAAAATTATAATAGAGGTAATTTAGAATGAAAATCTTACTTGGGGCCAGTATTATATGGTAAAAAGAACAATTTTTCTGTATCTTTGTTGGCCATAAATAAACTGAGCACAAATGCTATTACTTCATCTGGTTTTGAGATTATTGACCCTGCGTGGACAATGTTGGGATTTATGAAAGCGAATATGGACTCCAATCCACGCGGGCGAATCAACTTGTCATACAGAAACCTTAAATAAAAACATCATTAACATTAATTATTCATTGAAATGAGTAAATAAATTCTGCAATTAATTAAACAAAGTTGATTAGAGTATACCTAATGTATGTATTGATAACAGCCATGCCTAATGTCAAGTGTCCAAAAACTTGTTCCAAATCCTCCTTACCAATTGTTGTCATGCCTTCAGAACCATAAATCCCTTCATGCAGGGGTATAAGAGAAGTACCACCTTGCGAAATAGTTGTGAAGCTTATAAATGTCTGAAGGCACGACCTATATTGTGAAGTAGTTTTCTTTCTAGCCCCAGTCCTCTTAGCAACACTCTTTGTTTCTGTGGGAATGTTGCTAATTACAGGCTCCTTACCCCTACTTACAGCTTCAATCTCTTTAGCAGGAATAATCTAAATATCATAAAATTAGAGTGGTCAAGTATAGGACGACAAATTAACATTATCTAAGCATAAATATCATATAATTTTGTTGTACCTGTTTTTTTGCTGTCACTGACTCCTCTGGCCGCGTAATCCCTTTATCTTTTGGTTTGGGTTTTGTAGGAGTCTAACATTACCATGCAAAAAAAATGTAAGTAAAACGAACGTAAAAAATTTGAGTACTAAAAGGTTCATAACGGTTTTAATTACACCTCATCATCTATGCGAACAAGCCTTGACGGCCATGCAACAAACGCTCCTATTGCCTCTCCCACCAATGTTGCATCTGAAACTTTATCTAGGATTGGTAATAACGCACCCTCCTCTAAAGCAATATCAATCGACACTTTCAAATATCCAGAAGGGAGCGATTTATGATGAAGTACTTCTCCCAGAGTGTTATGGACTTTTCCCTTGCCAACCATGCGATAAGTTGGTGTCTCTAAAAAGAGTTGGCAAGGTGAAATTCCCTAAAATCAATAATAAATATGACATCGTTAATGTGTATATATGTCAGTTAAATAAATTACACTAATTTAATTTCATAATAATATATGTAAGTACCTCGGGAATACTCGGTTGAGCTGCACAATTGACACTAGCTATGTCACTAGCTTCTTTAACACCCGAAGCTTCCCTTTCTGATTGGTATTGTCTTGCTTTTTCCTTCCTCAATTCAAGAACTTCAGCTTCTAATGCATCCAACCTGGCCTGCAGTTCTTTGTTGCTAGCAGATTTTGTCTTTGGATTGTTCTTTTTCAAGGAGGTTGGAGTAACCCCATGTCCTTTACCCCTCACCCGACCAGAATACTCACGAACATCTAATGCTCGACTAAGTATGCTCCTGCAATCATCTGGTGGAGATGTAGACTGAGACAGACTCTTCTGAAATTCATATGAATATTGGAAAAACATGAATACTATATGTTAATAAAATTTTGATTTAATTATAATTAATGTTATACTTACGCATTTTTCAAAAATTTGTTGTACATCTTCTTTGAGAACTCCATCCTTACCCACACGGGCAGCCTTCCACAAAACATGCTCCGGAAGAGATGTTTCTGAACTACTCTCCTCTTTTAACTACACATTAACACAAAAAACAAGCTCAGTTATAACTATTGATGAACAAGTATATCATTGCAATTTGTAAATACTTACTATTTTTTGTTCTAATCGTGCATATCCCAAACGCCCTTTTTGTATGGATATGCGGGAGATGATGCTCTTAGACGATTTACTTCACTAACACTCTGAAATTTTGGGGTTTTCCGTTTGGCTTTAAAATCATCCCATTCTTTAACTGAAATCACATCCGCATATTCTGCTGGACGCTCTGCATCAACAAATTTTTTTTCGGCATCTCTAAGATATTTTCTGTTTAAATATGTTCTAAACCCTCTCAGTATTTTTCCGGCCAATCCAAGACAATAATCTTTTCTTTTGTCATCAATGTTGAAAGACCTCTACAAAAAACATACACAAAGTGCGTTAGTATAAGTAATTTAAAGACATAATTTAAAGTACATAATCGTAATTTAAAGACATAATTTAAAGTACCTGTATCTCACTCCAGATTTTGTTTTTAGCATCATTCAGCTTATCATCTCTCCACGCATCACAAGTTATTGGAATTTCTCTCCTTACAAGTGTGCCAATGTAACTTGTCAATTTAGAACCGTTAGGCTCAATTAATTGGTCATTTGGACTCCAATGCACATCATATTTTATACCCCTATCTCTATCACGAATGATATTCTTCATAATAGTTTTTCCTCTTTTTATTTCTTTTTCCACTCCCTTACTGGATTTTCCTCCATCATTGTCTCCATCATTAATAGAATCATCGTGAGGGTGCTCCTCGTTACTAGCCATCTAACCTGTAATAAAGAAAAATATTAGTATTTAATGACAAATATTTAATTCCAAATATATAATTCCAAATATCTATTCAGTATATAAAATGACAAATATCAATTGAGTATATAAAATGACAAATATCAATTGAGTATATAAAATGACAAATATCAATTGAGTATATAAAATGACAAATATATAATTTATTAGAAGTTTGCTAAGTGTTAACAGGTATGGAGGAATATATATTACCTCTTTCACTAACATCTCTTTCTTTTCTTGGTTGGATTCCGAATTACTTGTCTCTTAAGAACGCGGACGGAGGGATTGATCCAAATTCCCTCATCATGATCTTTTCTGATATATGATTCATCCGCTGTAGTATCATCATCTCGATCGTTTCTAATATACGACTCATTCTCAACATCAACATCAACTTGATCCAAACTTTTATCATCAATCACTTTGTTAGATAAAAGCACTATAGACCATTTCGTACTCTTCGGGTCTGTGACATATAACACTTGTTTAGCTTGAGAGGCTAGAATAAAAGGCTCATCTTTGTACCCCACCCTACTAAGATCCACTTGCAAAAACCCTGACTTATCCATTCGTATGCCACTAGTATGTACCCACTTGCAACCAAAGATAGGAATATGAAACTTCTCATAATCAAACACCCAGATGTGATTGATAACCCCGAAATATGACAAATTTTCATATTTGGGGTTTAAGTCCTTCATACCATAAATGTGCATTGCTTCACATACCACCGTGACACCACTATTTTGCATGGTACTCTTCTCATCTTGTTCTTTGGTATAAAATGTGTATCCATTAATTTCGTATCCTCTATAAGAGAACACAATCGAACTTGGACCATATGCCAAACATCTCAACCTGTCTGAAATTGAAGCGGGATCTGAATGAAACTTTGAATATATATAATCCTTAAACCACTCTATAAAACTTTGATTGTGCTCTCATACTATCCAATTTTCATTTCTACTTTGATTCTCACCTCGGAGTATAGCCTTGTGCATTTCAACAAACGGCTCAACCTCAGTGTCATTGTGCAGAACATACAAATGCACTTGATCCCGTTCATCCCTTGATATTGTCATGATTTCATTTCCAATTAATTTGTTACCTTCTTTTTTTTCGAAAAAAATGAGATTTGGGGAGTCCAATGGATTGCACATTGGACAAAAAATCAGTACAAAACTCAACCGCTTCTTCAACAACGTATCGCTCAACGATACAACCCTCTCGACGACTTCGGTTTTTCACGTACCCTTTTAATATTTTCATATAACGTTCAACAGGGTACATCCATCTCATATAAGCTGGTCCACACAATTGTATCTCTTTCACAAGATGAACAACAAGATGTACCATAATGTCAAAAAATGATGGAGGAAAATACATTTCAAGGTCACACAGAGTAATAACGATTTCTTTTTGTAATACTGGTAAGATCTCAGGATCGATCACCTTACTACAAATTGACCTGGAAAAAAAACACAATTTAGTTATAGCGCTTCTTACTTTTTCTGGAAAAATAGAATGTATACCTATTGGTAGAAAATGTTCCATTATGACATGGAAATCATGTGTCTTCAGACTCTTTTACTTGAGGTCTTTCATGGACACAAGTCTTCTAATGTCTGAGGAGTAACCTTCTGGAACTTTAACTTCACTCAGAAACTTACACAATATTTTCTTTTCCTTTCTAGATAGAGTATAAGAAGCAGGTGGTAGATATGTTCGTCTTCCTTTCTTCACGGGTCCTAATTCAGTTCTTATTCCCATCTCTACCATGTACTCTCTTGCCTTAAGGCCATCCTTAGACTTTCCTTTTATATTGAGTAACATACCAATAACACTTTCAAATACATTTTTTTCAATATGCATAACATCAAGAAAATGTCTTACGTACAAAGATTTCCAATATGGAAATTCAAAAAAAATTGACCTCTTCTTCCACCCACCTGTGACAACTTTATGTGCAAAAGGCTTGCCAAACTGAATACTCACATCTTTCACCTTTTCACAAATTTGATCACCTGTCAATCCAGGTGGAGCTCTACGTTGTTCGGTATTTCCATTGAACGCTTTTCTCCATCCACGATATTGATGTTTTAAATTTAAGAATCTACGATGACCGAGAAAGACATTCTTTTGACAAAGTTTCAATCGTGTCGTATCGGTTCCATCTTCACATACAGGACACGCTTTTTCACCTTTAATACTATACCCGGATAGATTTCCATATGCTGGAAAATCGTTGATTATGCCAAACAACATCGCCCTCAAATTGAAACTTTCTTTCCTATATCCATCATAAACCTCCACACCGTTCTCCCACAAAATCTTCAAATCTTCGATTAAAGGTTTCAAGTATACATCTATGTCATTCCCTGGTTATTTAGGCCCAGAAATTAACATAGATAACATCATGTACTTGCGCTTCATACATAGCCATGGAGGTAGGTTATAAATCATAAGAATTACAGGCCATGTGGAATGTGAGATACTTTGAAGACCATGCGGGTTCATTACATCCATAGATAATGCCAAGCGAAGGTTTCTTGTTTCTCCTCCAAAATCAGGATAATCATTATCAATTTTCTTCCACTGTGGTGCATCTGCCAGATGTCGAAACTTTCCATCGATAATTCTTTCATCTGCATGCCAAGTCAAGTGTCTAGCATCGGTTTCACTATGAAACATGCGTCTAAATCTCGGAATAATAGGAAAATACCATAAGACTTTCGCTGGAGATAATTTTTTCTTATATCGAGATAAACCGCACTTTGGGCACTCATTCAACGATGCATATTCGTTTCGAAACAAAATACAATCATTTAGACATGCATGTATCTTATCATAGCTCATGCCAATAGAGCACAACATTTTTTTGGCCTCGTAGGTTCGATTAGGAAGAACATTATCCTCATAAAGCATATCTCTCAAAAGGGCTAATAACTGTGTGAAACTTTTATCTGACCATCCATTGCGCGCCTTTAAGTTGTACAATTTTAATACCGCAAACAATCTTGTGAATTTGGGGCAATCTTTATACCACGGTTTCTCTGCATCGCTTACCAACCTCTCAAACATTTTGGGACAATCTTGAAGATCTTCTTCAAGTGCTTCTGCAATCTCTTCCACCCGATCACAATCATATGTATCCGTGGCATTGTCGTACGAAACATAGGTCGCATTACTTTTCACCCCCGGTTCAACATTCTTGATGCTTTTCTCACCATGAAATATCCAACACGTATAACTTCGATCAATTCCGCGCATTAGTAAATGCGATTTCAATCCATCTGCATCAACCCGACCCACATAACAACAACCCAAGCAAGGACATTTCATTCTATTCGGGTCTTCAGCGTGTTCAACAGCAAACTTAACGAACTCTAATACCCCATCCTCATACTCTTTTGACAATCGATCGACACACATCCATTTTTTATCCATGGTTTTAACTATTATCTAAGTTAAAGAGTCTGTGTTGTCAACAAAAATCAAACATGTGATTAGAACAATTCTAGAAATGAGGATTGTTGTGGTCCTATAACATATTCAATCAATGATCGTCAACGTTACAATTTTAGAGACATTAGCTTAGTTGTGAACTCATTCTAAGATTCATGATTTGTGTTATTTTTTACTATTACTAAGTTGAATATTAGATGGGGGATTTACATGATGTGATTCCTTTGTTCCTTGCAGGCATGTCTACATGAGCTAAGCATACATTATGAGAAACAGAAAAGAAACAATGTAGGGAAATTAAGTTTCATGTTGAATGGTATTTTGACTAGTCCATAATATATCTTAGATTTAAAAAAAATCAAAATAAAAGTTTCAAAAGAGAGAATAGAAACCATAATACCTAAGGTTCCTCGGATTTTACTCGTGGAGATTGTTAATTTTCTATTTCGCCGTAAGAAGAAAAACAATAAGAAGATGAAGATTCCAGCAAGAGCAGAAGAAGCAATCAATGCTAGTAGAATTCTCTTATTCAAATTCTGATGATGCACTATTCTAACATCTTGATTTCCTGTATCATTCATTGTAAAAACAATACATCAAACTCATTAGTCTCGTTAAACCAACTCAGTTAATTGTTGTGCAGAAATATAAGATATATTAAAATTGACATATGGGTTTGCATGATGCATATTTTCCAGTTTTGTATGATGCTTTTTTTTTCTTTGATTTTTACTGCATATCATTTATTCTTGGGGTTAAACAGAATTATCTGTGAAACTATGCATAGGAAAAGGGGGTCAAACTAAAAGCTTATTATCATACTTGTACTACAAATGCACAAATAGTAGTTTTAATCTTCAAACATGATTTTCACTCAAACTTATTGTTCAACTCACCTATCATATGTGCACATATCCATACATTAATCAATTTATCTTAAATTCACATTTATGATTTAACTAAAATCAATCTCCACCCCCACTAGAAACTAACACACATTAGTATATCTAATAGCACCACATAACAAATAGTAGCATGTTGTGCCCATAAATAAAACCAAATTACTTATGTTCTAGTTAGCTCTAGTTAAAATAATATTAATTTCCGTATAATGCTGATAATAAATGTGTTTTCTTATTATTGTAAGAAGACATAATAACTTATTATATCATGTATCTCTTATCTTATCATCAAATAACCCCTAAGCTTTATGTTCATATAAGCACGAGTATATAAAGGAGCTAATGTTTACAAAAATATTTGCAGGAAATAAGTAATAATGTTTACAAAAGCATTAAGCACAAAGTTGTTGCTGCTGAGGAAGAGAGGTTTTCTACTGCATTTTTCTTTTGCCCCTTCAATGATGCAGTTATACAAAGTGAAAACAAGCCAGCTCTCTATAAGAGGTTCACTTTGAGAGAGTATAGACAACAGACTCTGCAAGATGTCAATCAAACAGGTGATAAAGTTGGCCTCTCTAGATTTCTTCTATAGAATAGTGTGTGTATGTGGAAGGATTAAGCCATCAATTTCTAGTATTACTTTGTGAAATGGAAAATAATGAAAGTAAGCACTTGTATAAGTTTCTGTTATGTAAGTGTTTATGTATAAGGAATAATTGTAAAACGTATTTTGTAATATATTTTTCTCAGAAGCTTATTGTAATATAAGCTTAAAATATATTAATGAAGTGCTATAAACTAAAGTAAGCACTTGTATAAGTTTCTGTTATTTAAGTGTTTATGTATAAGGAATAATTGTAAAACGTATTTTGTAATATATTTTTCTCAGAAGCTTATTGTAATATAAGCTTAAAATATATTAATGAAGTGCTATAAACTAAAGTAAGCACTTGTATAAGTTTTTGTTATGTAAGTGTTTATGTATAAGGAATAATTGTAAAACGTATTTTGTTATAAACTTAATGGAGCCTTTTTCTACTTTTCCTCTTCTCCTAACAATGTTGCCAAAAAGTTACGAAAAATACTGAAAATTGATCCACATCCATTCAAGAGTTATTGCTATACTGAATTATGATGGCTGTGAGATGATAAGAGGGAGGAGTGATGTAGCCGCGGCTGTTGGCCTTGGAAGGAGAATGATGGGTTGGGGAGTGAATAATTACTTTATTTGTTAGTTAGTTCAATAATAGTATACTTTTAACAGAAATAATATGATTTTCTCAAAGCAAAAGAACAGTGTAAATCCTTAAGTAATTGCTGCAAAATTTTAGCATCTAAAGATTTATTATTGTGTATAATCAGAGAATAAAAACAGTATAAATAAGCCAATTCCGAGCAAAGAACGTCTATAGGAGAGAAGCTAATCCTCAAAGTGGCCGAATTACTTAAATATAATAATAGCTCCTATTCTGCTAACATGACTTTGTTGAAACACCTTTGATTTCATGAATAAGCCCAACTAAGATTCTACTGTAAATCACAAGGTAAACCTATATTGATAAACATGTTTCAATGACCTATTGATATTTCAGCGGTTTTATGGTGTGCTCAAAATTGAATTTGAATATAGGAAAGAAATACTCTTCACCTCAACCTATAAAAAATATTGTGGCTACTATGCTAGACACAGATAACTTTGTACATGAACAACCTCAGAACTAAGAGTGTACTGTGGCAGAGTTTTGATTATCCATTACACATTTTGGTTCCAACGATGAAGTTAGGTGTAAACCGAAAAATTGGACTAATTTCATTTACAATTTTAAGCAAATTAAAATTAAATTTTGATGCTTAAAACACTAGTTGATCCATGGCTGAAATTAAAAGCTCTTCAACGAACACCAGATGGGATCAACAATGAAGAGATCGATATTCGACGAACAAACATCAAAGGCATTGAAAAACTGGCGAAACAAAGCAAAAGGACGGAGCGCGAAAACTCGAACATTAGGTGGTGGTTCAATCGGGTCAGCGGCGGAAGCGCCGTTAGAAGATGTAAACATAGACACAGAAACAGAATTGCAGGAGCATGGAAACTCCACTATAGTAACCGGTGTGGATGGTGTTGATAACCGCGACCTTCTAACTGGACCATAAACCCTAATTTTACAATTTACAAATAGTTGATTTTGTATTATAAGAATTAACAACTCAAATTAGCAATATGTAGAATGAAAATGAAGTAGCAATGCATGGGAATGGAAAACAGGGGCTGGAAGGAAGAGGGATACAAAACTTAAAAATAAATTCTTGGTGAAATGGAAAACCCTCAACCAAGGACACATTGTTATTTAGAATCTTAGATTACAATTATCATACCACAATAACATTCCAAAATCCAAACGGAAAAATTAGAAATTTTACCTTATAGTGAAACTGGTTTTGTGAAACTTCTTCTTCACGAGGAGATGGTGGTAACGAATCCGAAGCGAGTTGGAGAAGAAGATGAACCACGGTTGGACGGTGAGGAGGGAGGAGACGAGTTAGACGAAGATGAACAGTTGCGTGTATAAAGTGGGGTTTTGTATAAAGTGGGGTTTCTGATAACCAATTTAGGGATTTAGAAATTATTTAATTACCTTAGACAGCGCTTTCAAGAAGCGCTGCTAAAGGTATTACCTTTAGCAGCGCTTTAAGGCTTTAGCAGCGCTTTAGTGTAATGCCTTTAGCAGCGCTTCTTGAAAGCGCTGTCAAAGGTATACCTTTATCACACCTTTGGCAACGCTTTTAGTAAGCGTTGTCTAAGGTATACCCTTTAGCAGCGGTTATTCTCATTTTTTTATTTATTTTTTATTGAAAACCTATAGCAGCGCTTAGGGAAAGGAAGCGTTGGCTATGGTAAAGCCTTTAGCAGCGCTTTTAGTAAGCGCAGTCTAAGGTATACCCTTTAGCAGCGCTTATTCTTATTTTTTTTATTTTTTTATTGAAAACCTATAGCAGCGCTTAGGGAAAGGAAGCGATGTCTATGGTAAGGCCTTTAGCAGCGCTTTTAGTAAGCGATGTCTAAGGTATACTTTTAGCAGCGCTTACTCTAATTTTTTAATTTTTTTTTTGAAAACCTATAGCAGCGCTTATGGCATAAGCGCTGTCTATGTGGCGCTGTCTAAATTCAATTTTGGCATAGTGTCTTAGCTGGAATATTCTTTCAGAGTTAAAATGATACCTGCAAAAAAAATTATTTTGCATAGAAGGAATTCTTGCAAATTTGTTAGAATGTCTGAGACATAGTCCCATAACTGTTAAATAGTGATTAGTTCAAAAATGCACATTTTCACCCCCTTTTTGGCATAATCAAAAAGTGTAATAAATGAGAAATTTTGAAATATTTCATAAAAAGTTAAAAAAAAAAGATATCCAGAAGTACAAACAAAACAAAATAAGAGACAAAAAGAAACTAGGATTTCTTAGAGACAAGAGCCAGCAGAAGATTCTTGATTTCAGAGGCAGATTCGCTTTGCATTGCCATCCAGTTCTTGAACTCTAGATTTGTTTGATCTTGCTTATCCATGCGTTTATTCAAGACTTCATTCTCCTTCTTTAGCTCTTTCAGAGTGTCCATAATGCGTGAGGTAGGAGCAGAAGATGATGAAGCTTCAGTAGAAACAGGCTCAGAAGCAGCAACTGTTGAGTCAGACTTCACAAAGGTGGAGAGAAGAGTGCCTAGATCCATTGCAAGAGTTGGCACAGGTTCAGGTACATCCTTAACTGAAGGTTGATTCAATAGAACAATAGCCAGAGGATTTGAATCTTCAGAGGATTATTCAGATTTATCTTCTGATATGTCCATCTTATCAGCTGGTGTATCAGCAATCAATAGCGAAGACTTCTTATTCTAAGTATCAGCAGCTTTTGTCTTGAAAGCATGCAGAAGTTTGGAAAAGTTGTCCAGCACCTGAGAATGGCACAAATCCTGTAACTTCTGTGATTCAGCAACCAAGGTTCTTCTGAAGGTTTCCCATAGAAGATTTGTTGTTGTTGTGTTCACACTTCTGAGGCAATCTTCTTTCAGCGGTTGTAACCATGCTTGAACATTTGTTATGAAATTTTGAAACAAAGTATCTACATCTGGCTGAACAGGTTTTGGGACAATTGTTCTGTAAGTTTTGTTTTTCAATAATTGTAGAGATTGAGAGTCCACTACAGTTCTTAAAAAGCTATTGGGTTCAGGATTATTTGTAGGTTCAAGTTCAGGTTGGTTAACACAAATAGGAGGTTCTGATATTTCATGAGGTACGGATGGTTCAACAATTTCAGTTTGTTTAAAAGGTTGTTGTTCTGGAATTTGATGAGTTAAGAGTGGTGTTGTATGTTGTGGTGAAGTGGGTGGAGTGACATCAGGCGAAATTATTATTGTATAAGCAGGAGTGGGAAAGGGATTTTGAGGCTGTGGTTGGTTCATAGCAAAAATATTCTCAGATGGTAGGTTGAAAGGAGGTTTTATTGTTGCTAGAGGTTCACTTATCCTTGGAATTCTCCAAGAGCCAGCATCATATCATCCAGTGGGTCTGGGTGATAGAGGTCTGGGAGGGGGTCTTGAAAAACCTTCAGCAGGAATAGGTTGAAAAACAGATGGTTCAAGAGGTTCTGGTTGAGAAGGTTCTGATTGGCTGTCAGAATGTTCATCAGAGTCAGAATCACTTAAATCTGTTGAAAACTGATTTTTACTAGGATTGTCAGCAAGGGGTTCAGCAGGTAAGGTCAGATCAATGTCTACATCTAAGTCTCCTAAGGTTTGAGAGGGTTCAGCAGATGCAAATACATTTTCAGAATTATAAACAGGTATAGTTTCAGCATGATTACATGTCTTCTTTTTCTTCTTCTGAGGAGTGTCAGAAGGTCCTTCTATAGCTTTTCTCTTCACAGATTCTTGGAGAACAACATCAGGAGCAGCTTGATTTCTTCCTTGAAGCCAAGCTGGATCAATGGGTGATCCTGTTTCTCTGCAGGTCTCAAGATAGTGCAAAATCATACGAGAATGCTCCCTGAGTTGAACAAAGTAAAGTCAGCAATAAGAATTCTTCTCTTCTTCATAATAGTTGACAAACATGGAGAGGGTTCCACCAGCAGTTTGTCAATAATTTTCCTTTTCAGCAAGTTCTTTCCAGTCATAATCTTACCACATATAGGTTCAAGCTCCCCCAGAAGATTTGCTTCTTTTAGGTGAGCAATCAGACCATTCTCATTCAGAATGTCTGATAATAACCTCCCCATAGGAATCCAATTCCTCTTTGATTTGGGATTCTTCATCCTTTCAGCTTCTCTGGTTTCTTTGACATGGTTCCAGAGATGTTCAAAAAGCAAGTAGGGCAAATCAATTTTGACATTGGTTCCAAGGCAAAACAGCAAATATTGTTGATTAGCGTTGATGTAATCAGGAGAACTGGTGTCTTTCCTGTGGTGAATACATCCATGAATAATCCTTGCCTAAATCTTATATTTGTCTTTCAAGTCCCTGACTTTGGAGGAACCTTGACCGTTGGTAAAAATTTCTGAATATACCCTAGACATCTCCATTCTTCCAGTGGGCATTCC